TTCCTTCCTTCCTTCCTTCCTTCCTTCCTTCCTGCCTTCCTGCCTTCCTGCCTTCCTGCCTTCCTGCCTTCCTGCCTTCCTGCCTTCCTGCCTGCCTGCCTGCCTGCCTGCCTTCCTGCCTTCCTGCCTTCCTGCCTTCCTGCCTTCCTTCTTTCTTTCCTCTTTGTGTGTGTGTGTGTGTGTGTGTGTGTGTGTGTGTGTGTGTGTGTGTGTGTGTGTGTGTGAAGATCTTCCTGTATCACAGGCTGGTCATGAACTTCATATGTAATAGAGGATGACTTTGAACTTCCTATCATTCTGCAGCTCCCTCCTGAGTGCTGAGTATTGGGATCACAGGCATAGACACTCCACTATCCCACTATGTTAAATGGAGCTGGGGACTGGACCCAGAGCTTCTTTCAGGAAGCCCTCTGTGCACTGAGCTATATCCCCAGTTCTCTTAAAAAATTCTAAAATCCTTGGAATCTCAAAAGTGGTAGTGTATTTGTTATGCTAATGTATCTATAAATTGAGGGTAGCTACTCTCACAGAAGTTCCTGCACTTAAAGTAGTCCATGTTTCCTCCAATGTATCACTTCACCTGCCTATTTATTTTTATCCTTTAAAGCATTGTTAACAGTAAGTTGGTAAATAAATGTTTTTCCAAATACCATGAACCACTTTAGGAAATTAGTCTACTCTAAGAATGTATAGGGCCAGGAACACAAAACAAGGCCTGGGATTCTGAAGTGGGGAGGGGAACTGAAGGGAGGCTTGGGGACTGAACCCTCAAACTTTGGGATCTAATACTACCTCCAAGTGGGTGGTATCAGAGATCAGATTAGGGAACATCCAGCTATTGTCCACAGTGGCAGTGTGCATTGTACTCAGGAGAAATGACCATATATTTTGAGGTCAGAGATGTCTTCTCCTATGATTGCTGTGGTATGAAAGCAGAGGAAATGCAGTATGCGTTTCTATATATCTCCTTACTCTGCTAATAATGGCTGTGCTTTAAAGGAACTGTATTATGTGCCTAGTGTTTTTAAGACATACTATCGAATCTCTATAAAGATAAAAGAACTCATGCAAATATTATTCAATCTCATTTATAGAACATGGAATTTCAGTTCAGACAGATAAAGTGACATGTCCAAGGCTATACAAGTACTTAACTTTTAGAACCATTTATGGTTGCTTGGCATCCTCAACTATGTTCATGTAGACTATACCCAAAGGGAGCTGTTGTGAAAATTATGTAATACTTGCATATATTTGAATTTCAGATAAACCATGAGTAATTTTTGAATCTAAGTATATTCTATACAATATTTAGGATACATACCACAGAAATCATATACTATCTAGCATACATTGATACTAAAGTTGTGATTTCTCTAAAATTCAAGTTTTAGTGGACATCTTGTGATTTATTAACTTATTTCTCTTTCTTATTTTGCTTTTTGACAAGGGGTCTTGAAATGTCACTCAGGCTAGAGTACACTATATAGCCCAGACTAAGCTTGATCTTGTGATCCTCAGGATTTAGGCCCCAAAGTGTCAGGATTACAGGCACGTGCCACTATGCCTGGTCTGCATCTTTGTTTTCTCTTGACAAATCTGAAAATCCTTTTCTTAAGCTTCTACTCATTTTTATATGTATCTCTTAAATGACTAGGCTGTCTAATGAAGACTATATAAATTATATTAAAATGTCCAAATATAAAGTATGTTTTGAGATCAGGAATGCTGGTAGAGATTATTGAGGTAGGCTTTACGTTGTCCATTGCCTTGGATCATGCTACTTCTTTAACATTCTTCACATATTCATTTAAAAGTCATTTTTGATGATACACAAAATTCAAAAGCATGAGTTTATATAAAAATCATAACTTATACAACTGAAGATGATAGACAATAAGGTAATCACTAATATCAGGGACTTGAAGGAAGAAATGTGGCAGCTATACAAATAGACTACATTTCTGGATGAAATAGAGGCTT